GATCTGCAAGAAAATAGAATTAACATAGAAATTCTTAAAAATTCTATAAGTAGAATTTTTAACCGTCACAACGTGATAGATTCTGATTTGTTAGAAATTCATGGATTTGTATCTATTTGTAAGTTATGTAGTATAAAAAATATCGCCAACATTTTGTAATCAGTTAGTTTCGAAATATTAGTAATTTATAACTTTAGTCTTAATAATTAGCCAACAAAATTGAAAATTAGTCAAAACAGTTAGGAAACAACATTTTTACGATATGTTATAAAATTATTGACGATATATTGATCAGGCTAGTTTAGTTTTATATTTTTTTTTGTGTAAATTTTGAGAAATTACTATCAATTAAACTGTGCTATGCAATTGTAATGCAAAAAATCTCATTGTTTTGAGATATAGAGTATGAAAATTTTTACTTTTTCATATAAGGCATATTTATATGTCTACTTTTCGTACATATCTCTATACAATAATATATTACTTTATAACTCAAAGATGTGTAATAATAAAAGATTTTAATATTAAATAAAACAATAATTCTTTTATTTATTTATTTTAATTTAATCGCAAAATCTTTATTTCTTCTTATACTTTATTGTATTGCAATAATAGCAATGTAAATACAAATTACAAATGATAAAAAAATTTTTTGCATTATGAACTTAAGCCTAAATTAATTTTGACTGCATGATTTGGTCTGTTTATGAAATGTAGTCTGGCGAAGTTGATGGATACTCTACAGGCACATTGGAATAAATTATACTTTTATATGTAAATGAGACGTAAACAAGCAATTCTAGGATTTTTTCATCATCATTGGCCAATTCTTCTTCTAATGGTTCAATTTCATATAATTCCTAATAATAAATTAAATTTATTAAAAATTACTTTAACGTAATAAAAAAAATTATTTAAATATAAACCTGTTCAAATTCAGGATTTACTAGTTCAAACTGAAAATCTTCATCATATAGATCCATATTTTACAATTTAATTTTTATTAAAATGTAAAGTGAATTGAGAAATATTTATCAAAATGAAAAAAATAAAATATAGAAATAAAACTAAAATCATTGCAAACCATGTTAATCATTAAATCATTATATAAATCATTACATTATATTAAGAGTACGGAAAGTTGAATTATTTATTTGAACGTATAGTAAAAGCGGAATATTAAAATTTTCTTTCGAATATTCGTTCAAGTACAGAAAAATCAAGTTTTTTTTTATTCATCTATACTAACTTGTACCTTACTGTACTGTATTAATTTACCATATAAGAGGTATGTTATTAAAACTCATGTTCAGATCATATGGAATGAGTGCTGAGAAAATGGATCAAATTGATTTTTTTTTTAAAAAAAAGTTCCTAAGTAAAATTGATGTAGATTTGGTCATCTGATTCAAATCATTTGTTATTTCAAAAAAAAATTTTTTGTCAATTTGGTCCTTTTTCCCAGCACACACCCCATATGATCTATATCTCATAACTTTATTTTAATAGCATACGAACCATATACTCATCTAACTGTATAATGAAGTACTATTGGTCAAATCACTTTGTATAGTACAGTCTAACTTACCATAATACCAGTATTTTGATATATATTATTTTAGTAATATATTTATTTTCTGAATATAAATAAATTACTTAATATAGACACACTAACTCAAAGTGCATCAGCGTTCTTTTGCGAAGAGTTAGGAACCTAAAATTTAATGTTTTCGCATTCTAAACTTGAAGTAGTAATACCAGCCATAGAAAATTCTGGAATCAGCACAGTCAATCATTAGATTCTTTTCAGTCGACTCAGCTATTAACTAACTCTTTGAAACAATCAACCATAATTATATTATTAAATCTTAATCAATATAGTGATTTAGGATCCAATTCAGCTAAAAAATTTTGAAACTTTTATTCAATTGAGAATTTTTTTGTGATATTCTGACATAATATTAAATTTGTAAAGGCAACTCAGCTGGAAATACTACTTTGAAGAATCTGTGCTCTTTTATTTCACTTAATGATGACATTATTATCATAAACTTTCTTCACTTCAGGGAAAAATGGAAAAGTAAATTGGATAATCTCCAAAATTCTTCTTTATTTATTTAGTTATTTTAGGTCTATATCTATCTATTATAGTGAATGGTAATGATTCAAAAAGGTGAATTGTGTAGTATCTAGAGAACTTTTTGAATACAAAATATCTATCTCGGATTGAAGTTCTTTTACACATTTCGATTACTAACGCTAATAATTTATGTATTATGTCCTAGTATTTTGTAGATCGATTTGTCCTTTTAGCCAAATTATTCTTCCAGCCAAAATGTTTCGTCAACAAAAATCCTTGATGAAATTTTGATATATAATGTGGTGTTAGATTTTCCTTAATATAAAAGTTATAGTTACTTAAAATTTTTTTGTTATACTTTCAACAAATAAAAGTTTCTTAAAGTTTCTAACCATTCTTAAATCTTTTAATTTTTATACAATTAATAAAAATTATGATAAATCATCAAATTTATTAATGAATCTCTATAGCATGAAGTATCTCATGACCTTGCTGTCTTGTAAATCGATATTGCAGTTTACGTGACTGAGATATAGTAGATCTGTGAAATACTTTCTTAGTTTGTAATAAATAGAATTAATTATCACCTTTGACTTTTCATATTATGATAAAATTATTAAAAGAATTGAATCTAAAAAAAATGATAATAATAATTCAGAATTATATGATTTGTTCAGACACGACATGAATAAACCAATACAGTCATACCTCTCTATAGCGAATTTTAATATAACGAATTTTTTGGACAACTATATTAAATTTACCCTCGTTATAACGAACTAGCCAATCAAATTCTTTAAAAAGTTCACTATAGCTCTATAACGAAGTTGAAGTTCAGGACATAAAATTCGTTATATCAAGGGTTGACTGTATGTATTATTGGTTTGAATAAACTCTTGAATTCAATATCAATAACAAAATACCAATAGCATTAGCCAAGATTTAATCAGCATATAATACTTGTTTATCATAGTAGTTATAAAAAAAGCTTCCCTTGATTACGAGTCGAGTTTTTGAGTTATATTATATTTAAAAATATAAAAAATATTTAATATTTAAAATTAAAGCACTCTGCATTACGTTATTTGAAAAAATGATGCAATCACCATTCTATAATTGATGTTTTATTGTGCTACTATTACAATTTAAATACTTAAGCAAACTAATTATTTATCTTATATAAAAAAAATAGAAAGTCAATTCTTTTTTTTTTATTAATCCTTTATGCAATCAAATATTAAACCTAAAAATATTATTTGAATGTTTGATTGGATAGTTCAATATTTTATGTTCTATTTTTGTTATTCAGATTGTATTTCTGGCTTAAAACACTAAGAAATTCGATAATTGCTTAATGAACCAATAATAATATAAGCATTTCCTGCTGTAAAGTGATGCTCATTATATATTTTTCAGGTAATACATCTCGCATCTACTAATATTATTATCATCTAAATGTTTGAATTTGCAAGTGAGAAGTATTATCTGAAGATCCTTTTCAGAGAAATCTGATCTGATGTAAAATTTAATAAGCTTATAAAAGATAATTAATTATATGAATCTATAACATTAAATTCTCGATTTCATATAAATTATCCTGTCTCATTCCTTTGTTTCTTTACTCCACTCATTAAGTTTGCAAAATTTAGTCATTTAGTCATTTAAAATTTTATTCTATAAACTAGTCTTTTATCATGGATGTCCATTTCCTTGACCCAGAAATGCCTGATAAATAGAAAGAAGACAGGAAGGGAGTCACACAAAAAAGAGAACTAAACATATTCATTATTTACTGTATTAAAATGATGAAACATAAATCTGAAAAAATGATAATATCTGAATTTAGCAAAGAAGTTTCCCGTTTATGGGAACTGATGCTGGGGAAAGAAAGAAAAGACTGCTCGAAATAAATTATATCAGATCAGTTAGGATTAAAAATTATCAAACACTCAATTTAGCGATAAAAGTTCTTTATCTAATCTTGTAAAAACAGATATAGGTGAATCATCATATGATATTTAACCTAATAATTTTGATTCTACAAAAAAAAACAGATAAAAGTTAAAGTTTCTCACTGTTAATCCCTCTGAAGATTTTTGGAACAATGCTGAGATGACTTCAAGAAATACAGTTATTTCTAATTTATAAGTCAATTAAAATCGTATGAATGTAAAAAATTTTATTAGCCAATGCACGATTGGTTATAAATTTATATTTTCCTTTTTTAAAATCAACATAAGGTAAGCAATTTGAATATTTATAATTATTATAAACCTGACTATTTGCAAGTGTTTATTATTTAAGTTTGTTAAATATTATGAACATTCTTATATGTAATACAATAGAATACATATTATAAACCTTAAATATGATATGTTAAACCCCTATTATATATATTAAAAAAATATGCAATTTCTTTTATTTTAGTATAAACTCGTTAATAATGTAAGATTCTTTTATAATCACTTAAATTTGCTTGCTATCTTTATTATTTTTCACGTTTTATAGTTTTTCTTTTTTTTACAATATGTAAATTAGCATATGGAGTTTAATATATTAATGTAATTATTTAAAATTATTTAGATTTTCAATAAATGTTAGAACATTTAATAAGTTTTATTGTGTTATCAATCGAAATATATTTGATGAAAAATCAAGAATCGAATAATTATTAAAATAAAATTCCATTTTAAAAATATATATAGCTCAGTAATTCTAAAAATTATCAAATAAATTAAAGGTTGGAACTGGCCTAAAAAATTCTTAACCGGTTAATAACTGGTTACTAATGTTTTCATAAGAACTGAGAAGAAATAATTTTTGCAATCCAATTATTGGTCTGCTGATCCGGTATTTTCAGTTGGTCACTTAATAGTTTGATAGTTAGTATTGAATAAATAGACCTTTTATACATTTATATTCAATATGCGACCAACAGATGAGATGTTTCATTATTACCAAAATGTTTAGCAATTTGATATGTCAAGCCTTCTAAAATTTTTTGATTATTTATCATCTAATATATATTAAAAGTACTGCTATTTGCATAGTTGAAATATGAAATGTTTAAGTATTTTGTTTATTAATTTATTCATTACAAACTATCAAATTTGTTCACGTAACCAAACTGACAATACCAAACTGGCAGACCAGTGATCAGGCTTCAAAATTCTGAATCTTAAGTAATTATTGATATCCATCATCAGCATTAACAAAATTGGTCAAAATATTCATGCGCATTATCATATCCACTCAAGTTCTCCTATTGTCTTTGCATTATTGCCATACTGTATTACCCTCTGTATTTCAGTACAAGAAAGAAAAGTATTGATTTTGAAATCCTATTTGACATAAGTTGTTTGATACTCATAACGCGGATAAATAGCTGGATATATTTCATATACAAATGGTTTGTAATTGTATGAAGATCTATAACTAGATGATTTGTAAGATGTGTTATACAATAAGTTATAATAATAATATATAAATTGAAGCGTTGGGATTAAAAATGATGCTTTCTTGCAAAAGCATAATCATATAAAATTAAAGCACAGTCAGTAAGAAGAAACCCTCCTAAAATTTTCATTTTAGAACGCTTAGCGAGGTTTCAACAAATTAATTTAACTATTTTAAATGTATATTTGCATTAAATTTAAAATACCACTAGAACATAAATTAAAAGCCTACTTAAAATATTTAAATAAAGTAAATGCAATCGACTAATAAGAAAAGTAAATGCAAATTAGCAAATAAGAAATTCATTATTATTTTTGAACTGCATACATCAGGTGCAGAAGTTCACGCATAAAATATAAAATTTAAGCAATACAACCTCATAAATTAAAATAGACATGGACAAAAATATTTCAAAAGCACAAAAAAAGAATAGTTTGACTTGAATTT